TTTAAGATGTAATATGTGATAGTCACACCAGTAAACATGCTCAACTCATTCACACTTCCAACAGTGCCAGACTCTTGTTACAACTGTTTTGTATGCCTTCCATCCCTTTATACTTAGGCTCTGATCTTGGGCGTTCCCTGTTGTATCAAGTTAACTTATTTGCTTGAGCACTCAAGTGGTAAAATCTACATGTACAGGGGTGCAAATTTCAATCATCCAGATGCAGATATTTAACTCCCTGAACTTGATAGCACAAACACCCATCTGTAAGTTTATACCTGTGCATGTACAGATTTGTCTTTATGCTACGCATACTCTATTATTTTAATCGCATTTTAAAATTCTAGCTTTATAAAAAGCACATTAAAAACCTATTTGAACAGGATTTGATTTCCAATTCTACATGTTTATATTTTACTTTCTTGAGTAATTTCAAATGAGCTACACACAACTACAAATAATATTAACACATCAACTTTTGCAGCTGTTTTCATCCTACACTTTGACAGTGTACATTACAGCCATATGTAGTGCACACGATAATACTTTCTTTTAGTCTTTATCCATTCATGTTATACAGTAACAGTTCCTTGGTTCTCTCTATACAAGTTAGTTTAAACTTGTCAGCAATTATTATGAACATAGCGTAACAAGGATTTGGAAACTCATTCAATTAACTGGTCAATCCATCTTGTCTGGATACAAACTACTTAACATTCATAAAGCATAGACAACAATGACCCAAGTCCTTGTTGCCCTGTCCAGTTACAAACATCTACAGCAACAATTCTCATTACCCTAACATCAAAAGGCACCATTTAGTTTATGCTAAAATCTTCAAAGGTTGATTTTAACATCAGAGGTACATGTATGCTCAAGATATATTATTGTTTCTGGTGATTTTAGAGTCTAACACCAATGATGTCTCAACAGTCACACATTAAAGGTCTAGATCGTTTGTAACTCTACATACAAGATTCCTGGAGACCGATCTGTGCATTTTACATTCACTTTATGAGAACTTGATACAAATCAGGGAGGTTCTATTTTTCAGTCTCACATTTCACTGTGTAAAAAAATGTATATCTTCCACTGAATTTCACTCTGAATTTGTAATTTTGCTGGTATAGCAGTTGTCTTTACTCATTTACTAACATTACACACAACAGAAAGCATGATTTGTACAGATCAGTAAGACCAACAACAGAAAGCATGATTTGTACAGATCAGTTAGGCCAACAACAGAAGGCATGATTTGTACAGATCAGTTAGGCCGACAACAGAAGGCATGATTTGTACAGATCAGTTAGGCCAACAACAGAAGGCATGATTTGAACAGATCAGTTAGGCC